GTTCTGTGCAAGTGAAACGCGCTTTTTCTTTCCTTAACGTCCACCATCTTGCAGATCACTGCAAACAACAACAACAACAACAACACAACATCAGCCTGCTGACTGCGGCCTACCTGCAAAACGGATTCCGCAATATATCGGCCGTGAAGATGCTGCGCGCATTATCACCCCACGGCAAGCAAGCTCTGGAGATACAGCCAAATCAAGAAGACGCTGGGGTGTTGTTTCGTTCTCAACGTCCAGCGTTAAATCTAAGCTAATCATTGCTTTGCCTTACTTCAACGACGTCTCTCCCACGAGAAAGTGACAAGCACAAGCTTTTATTCCTCGGTTGTGCCTGAAACAAGTGGTGACGACAGACTTCACGTTCAGCCCCAAGTGCACGCTGGAACACATTGGACTAAAAATCGGAAATGCTCACATTACCAGTATTTATCCCCCGTTCGGGCCTTGCGTAGACGCGCCGAAGGTGTGCGAAATTGATATTGGATGCCTTTCTATTGGGAAGGCGTCACTTTCTTCGTGACGGAGGAGAATATTCACGCCTCGCCCGCTGCCTGGGATTTGGATTTGCTTTCCGTTTCATCGTTTTTGCTGCTTTAGACCCGTAGTTTTCCAAGAGTTGCGTCTTACCGCGGATGGATCACTGGTAGTTCAACTCAAATGCCACGATTTCCGTACACCTGTAGTGGTCAGAGGATTGCGGTCGCCCCCTTCAAAGCTTGGCGAGCACGCTACACTTTTGTATCGAAACGGGAAGGCCCAGAGCGGCAGACGCACACTTTTTCCTCCTCTACCGCTGCTCGCGATTAAAATTCAGTGTCACGCATGTTCTTTCAAAGCTATAAATCTGGACGAAACTCGAACGGCTAGACGTGCGACCTCGGGCAACGTTCGGTGCATCACTCTATTGTTCAAGAAAGACGAGAGATGTTCGTTTCGGACGTACTCTAGACTCCGAGGCACTGCATGGCGGGACAATATTGTCTTCTTTGGTACAGTAGTTCAACGGTGATAGTGAAAGTGGTGTTGGGACTAGTTGTGCGACCTAATAGTCAGGATTCTTTGCATAGGTTCTCCTGCACGTGGCACATGCTCGCAGCGAGAAAGACTACCTTATAGATAGCCAAAATTAGACCTAAAGTACGTCACGTCGTCAAAAACACATTAGGACCATACTGTGTGAAATGATCTGATAATACTGTCAAAGCTGTTGACGACGTTACGATTTGGACATATCCGGTGAGAGATTCGAATTGGTAGCGCTTGTCTCCATGGTTAGCACAGCGCCATGCGCCTCGTTATTAGCACTATGCAGCTCTCCTGTTGGAGCACGTCCGAATTTCCCGAGATGAAACTCGCGAAAAATGGGCTCTAGCTTCGGGTGAGTGATGTAGTCATCACAGGCGAAGCACCAAATGCTCAGGTCAGCGAGACTAATAGCAATGACAGCTGCGGCATGGTCACTGCCCGCATCATTGGCATGTGCCACCATATGACCGGCTTTGTATCGACTGCATCCCGAAACCCCGCATGAGAGACAAACCCAGCTTTCTTCGGGATCTCCGCAAGAGTTGCACGCGCACTTCTCAAGGTAAAGATTTCTTCGCGGTGCTTTTCCGTGAGAGTTGGTGGTGGCAGTGGCGATTTCTGGGAATATCTCGAAAGAAGGCGAAGCAATGTGCAAACAGTTTGGGCTTGGAGCTACAGAGAATCCCACGCCGTCATCCTGAAGGGTCTGGGCTTCTTGGGTCGAGGTCATTTTCTGCTGGCACGCAATTCGACCGATATTTGATGCAACTGGCAGACACAAAAAGGCTTCGCCAAGAGGTGTTCTTTCTATGGTGCTTTGCTGCTCTGTCGTTCGCTGCTGTCAAAGTGATGTTCAACTCTTATTTGCGGGTTGGAAATGGCTGCGTGATCCTACAGCCTGACGGAATTAATGCAAGTGTTTATCGTGCCTCTAATATTTTCAAAAAAACATCAAATGCGATGGATTGTTTCCGCCCGCACCAAGTTTTCGACAACCCGGTCAAAACTTGATACGGCTTGGCTCATACCCTTCTCGAGTCGGAGAGCATCGTGAGTGAACGGCGAGAGAATCGCTGGATATGCGTGCACTTGTCTGCCTCTGGGCTCCTTCGGTGAACCATGAGAATATGAATCACACCGCACGAAACACTCGAGCCACCCGTCATAATCCCAGTCCTCTCCCTTTCTTCAAAAATGGGATTTAGGGGATTAGGGGATTTAGGGGGATTAGGGATTGCTCAAGTAATATTGCATGAACGCATTTATACCACATCTCATAGAAGGATGGCAGCAGTAGGCCGTAGGCAAGGCAGAGAAAGCAGCAACTCATGCCCCATACAGAAGCTCTCCGAATACTGCTTCAGGAACATTTCAAGACGCACAAAGGACGTCTCTTGCCGCCTGCACAGACGGACAGCCACACCCGGAGCCTTTGCTGTAGTAACCGGTACTTCTTCTCAACCAAAGCACGAATTTACACCCCGTCTTCTGTAGCGACAGCTATCAGTTCGCGACTTCTTCACCGGACAAGTCCATAAACACAACGGAAAGCGCTGAAAAACCAAACGTCGCGGCTCGCCTGGTGTGCACTAAGCGCGATGTTGAACTGCAGCATGCGTTACGGTATGCGAAGCACACGACATCAATGTCCAAGCCCAAGCACCGCAGATGGCAGATTCCTAACGGAGCGCGACTGAAATCAATAGGACTCCGATTTCGCAGATTGCGTCGCAGATAGAGGGGGCATAGGGTCCCAAAATGACAGGGATAGACGCGCGTGCGAGGGAGATGGCAAATAGGCAGTGGAAACAGTCTCAAACAGATTCAATTTGAATAGTAGCCCAGAGCGTGAAGTTTTACTTCAGAGGAATGAAACGGGAGGAATGGGTTGCACCGATACCCGGTCGCCCATGACGAACAAACTTGTAGCTGCAACTGTACTCGCCAAGGTAGCTTCCGATCATCTCTGGCTTGATTTCAACCGAGTTGAAACTCTTTCCGTTGTAGACAGCAACGACGGATCCGATCATTTCCGGGATGATGATCATCTGAAGAACGCAAATGGAAGAGGGAATTGGCAAACGCACATGGAAACCGTATTGAAACGCAGTAACGCCAGACATGATAGAAACCGCTGCATTAGTACGCTGGTTTCAAGAAACGCTTCTCGAGACCGGAAAGAGGGATGCGAAACATGAGATTGGACGCAGTCTCTTCGCCGGAAGTGCAACAATCGGATGGAAAATGCGCCGGTGTGACTACTTACGTCTCGCAAATGGGTCTTGACGACCTCAGGCTTCTCGTGCTCCGGAGCCTCCATCTTAGCCTTGTTCAGCTTTTTGATGAGGGCCATAGGCTTGCGAGTGAGGCCGCGGTTAAACTTTCTGCGCGTGCGGGACGAAAGAAGCGGAAGGATCTCAACCGGCTTCATTGTGAGAAGCGCATCGAGATCGACGCCCCGGAAGGTGAACTTCTTGAAGGTACGGCGCTTTCCCTGAACGGCCGACATCTTGATGGGAAGGGTTTGGGCGTGGATAAGGAAGTGGGTCGGAGTTGTTGCGGTGTGTGATAGAAAAGTTTCAAACCGGTCGGAGGGTGAGTCGGAAGCTGGATCAGAAATGGCATGGCATCAACGGCCGGCCGCCGACCCGAAAAGTATGACACGTGGGTTATGGTTTAGGGTTGAAGCTCACAAAACAATTTCATGTTTCGGCAAAAGAGATGAAAGTATTTCCGAAAATGTTTCAAAAAGAAAATCAAATGTTGATTGTCTTATAGGGTCGACAGGCTACAGTGCGAGTGCTCTGAGGTTTGTTGTTCCCTCACTCCTCCACGCACAAGCGCCCACCTCCCCCACAGAAGGCTTTCAAGCAACATCATAGCACTGCCAAGAACAGCCGATAAGTCTCTGTGACGGAACACACACAATGGCGGACAGCGGCAAAGTGACTTTCAAGATAGTGCTGACCTCGGACCCGAAGCTACCCTTCAAAGTGTAAGTCGAAGCACGACCACTGGCACACCTTGCCAAGAAAACGAAATGCACGAGATATGGATACTAATTTACAAGCTCTAAACGCCACGCTGCGGTCTTGTGCCTCTCCCACACTGCTATGGAATGAACGCTAATAATTAATAGAGTAAACGTGCCGGAAAAAGCGCCGTTCACGGCGGTGCTTAAGTTTGCCGCGGAGGAGTTTCGGGTACCGTCTGCGACGAGCGCCATCATCACTAATGACGGGGTCGGCATCAACCCGCAACAGAGTGCTGGTATGAAACATGCATGCTCCCCAGTTGCCTGTCTTTTTTCCGCGCAATGACGATTGACGCAACCTGACTCGCATCTCCTCCTTCCTCCCTTGCGTCACGGCGGTCTTGAACAGGAAACGTGTTTCTGAAACACGGCTCGGAGCTGCGCCTCATCCCGCGCGACCGAGTGGGGTGGGCGTAGAAGCGACCTAGCAGCCGTGGGGCGAATGATATCTACGTACGGCAAGCCACGTGCAACGGCGCTCGCACCCGGGTCCGCGACGAGACGAAGCGTAGGTATGCACAGCCCGAAATAAAGGCTTGTTTAAGACATAGCAGTGCCGACCACGGTGATGACGACATCTGCGAAGAAAGAGATCATGGCGCCGAACGCGGCGGCGATGACGCCGTCCCTCGCGCCGCGCTCGGGCAGGTCGAGACTGTTAGCGGCCGTGCCTCTGCGGACGAACAGGCCGAAGGCGAAGGCCCACCACACGCCGAGGAGGGTGTCGCCGATAACAGTGACGACGCTGGACGCGGCGCACATATTGAGGGTGAGGCAGTTGGTGAGCTTGCGCAGGCATCCGAAGATGGCATTGGCGACGAGGGAAGCGATGCCCACGACGATGGCGTACGCGCAGAAGGCGGCGCCGCCCAGGAAGCCGTCGTCCGAGCCGTTGAGGATGCACGAGGACTTGAGCGATAAGCCCTCGATGCTGACGTTGGTGAGCTTCCACGAGACTAGCACGACGACCAGGATGGCGAAGCCGACTTGAAGGACGTCCAGCGCCACGCCGAGCACGGACAGCGCCTTGGGTTTCCCTTCCATGGGCATGCTGGAGAAGCGGGGGCGGGGAAGGAGGGTAGGCTGAGAGGATGGGGAGCTGAACGTTGGTGTGGAGCTGAAGCTACAAAGTGTTGGGGAATGCGGTAGGGTTAGTATTCGACGGAAGGACGTCGACCTTGGAGGGGAACCAGCACTGTAGATGTAGGCTAGTTCGACGATACGTACCCCCCCGCAGGTCGTTTGCAGAGAAAGGGGGGGCTCCTTTTGGCGGCCTCGTTGGCAACGCGGACGCGAAAAGACGTCATTGCTGGCGAGTGGGCGCGTTCGTATATGTCGGGCTGCATCGTGACGTCACATGCGTTCTTTTTGGCAATTTTGGGCGGTCCGCGGATGAAGCATGCCTGGAGAGTTTTTTTTATGTACACGTGTACAGAAATTTAAACTCTTTATGTAAAGAGTTTAAATTTCTGTACTGTAAACAGTACCCGTCGCAGATTGTCTGTTGTCGCGTCATGGACTTTCCGCCGAAAGTTTCGGAAGTTGCGGGCCGTTCGGCCCGAAACATACCCTTGGTACTACCAAGGGTAACAACGGGTTCTGCGGTGACCGCAGATGAAGCATGCCTGGAGATTTTTTCTGTGTACAGAACAGAATTCTAAACTCTTTACAGTATCGCAGATTGTCTACACGTGTACAGAATTTTTCGTCATGGACTTTCCGCCGAAACATACTGTAGGACCGCAGATGAGGCATGCCTGGAGAGTCGTCGCAGTGTGACGGTGTGACAACCGGCCGTCTCGCAGATGACGTCACACTGCACTCGAGCGATGCAACTCGATGCACCACACCACTCTACATCGAGACGAGGGCGAGCGCTCCGAACCGAACCCCGTCGTGCCAGGCCCCCGCCTGAGAAGTGGACGGCCGGTCGCGCCTGAGGCAGATGTAGGTTCACTGCCAAAAAGAACGCATGTGACGTCACGATGGAGCCCGACATATACAAACGCGCCCACTCGCCAGCAACGACGTCTTTTCGCGTCCGACCTGTTTGTCAGAAACAAACAGGCCCTCTGGGACCTCTAGGAACGGCCCTGACCCTCAGGGCCGTTCCTAACGACGAGCACGGTGTGCTATCGCGAGTGCGAGAAAAGGCTACCCGGCACGGCAGCGTTTGCACTGCTGCCGTCTCAGCTCATGATGGTCAGCGCTTACCAGGCTGTTTTGACCTCGCGGATGCCGCTTCATCGCTGTGACACAGTCGTGCCACCATCTCGGCCTAGGCGCGTGCGAGTCGCACACACCTACCCCGATACGGTGGGCGAGTACGGTGCACTCGCAAGGTGCGACGCCCGTCCGATGTTGCGCCGCAGGGCTTCTCGACTCGTCTTGCAACAAATACCTGCAGTGAGCAAAAAGAAACGGAATGGCAAACATGGAGGCGACTTCGCGACGGAGCCATGCTCATGCTCAACATCTTTGTGACTGCAAGCGTGGCAATTGCACGGTACCGAGTGAGAAACAAATGTTATCCTAATCTTTTCCAGGTCGCCCTGTGGCAGCAGACTCGCACATCTGCATTCTCAAGTGTGCAAAAATTCTATCTCGTAGCAAAACTCTACATCAGCAACCGAAAGCGCCACTTGTGCTCTCACAGAGGCAGCACATCACCACGACGATATGTTCGGGTCAGAAACGTAGAGCGGGTCCTCCGGCGGCACGATGTTCTTCACCTCCTGCGTTTCCTGCACGGTGTTGTACTCGGTCTCAAAGTAATCTTCAGTCTTCTCCGTATACGTCACGCGCCCCAACGCCGCTTCAATTTTCTCCGTCAGCTGTGCTCGCCGTTAAACAACGCATGCAAAATGTTAGACATGCCCGAGCAGTTGGCCTGAGAAACAGCCAGAGTTACTCCGCTGTGTTCCTTACCTTGATGCAATTCTTCCCTCGAAGACCTGTCACTCTCTCCTCGACTGTCCCATCCTGTTTGATGATGAACTCGATTTCTTGAACCCCCTTTGATGGCATCTGTGGTGTTTTCTCCCAGGCCGCCGCTTTGTCCCAGCTTTCCGCTCCCGCCTTTGGCACGCATCGCGGTCTCGCACCGCAAGTCGCCCGTCGTGTGGGGGCCGCTCGCGGTAGCGGAAAAGAGCTCACAAACGCTGAAAACATGTCAGGCAATAGAGAAATCTGGAGTCACGGCTAAGAGCTCCGCAAGGGCGTCTGCCTGCAAACAATGCTGGCGATGCCGAAACTAACTGCGAAAAAGATCAGCAGTGATGGGAGTCAAAAGTGCCACTTGGAAGTACTTGATTGAGTGACGAAAAACACAGGAAGAAACGTCTTACAGCTTAGTGTAAGTGATCCTGAAATGAATCGCCCAGCAATCGACGAACGACATCGTCCAGTTGCCTTGCTCCTCCCCACACCGCAAGAGGCAATCGCTCCCTCGAAAAGGCAAAACAGCAGGTACGCCTCCGCCTTCACCTTGCCCGAGTGCCAACGTACCGGTCCCCCATTTCACTTTTACGCGAGCAACACGGGAGCCTTTTCAAATTGCTTCAAGTTGAAGACCACGTAGAAGGCTTCCTCGAGGTATTCGATCGTTTGCAACAATCCATCCGTCATGTCGATCGCCAAATACATACTCAAGATTCCCGGCGTCCACAGCATGGTCTCGACAGCCGCACGCGCCTATCAAGCGAGCGTGGGACGCGAGCTCCGGCGGTATGGCTTGCGGTACGACGACTTGTTGAACGAATTCGACGACGAGGTCAAGCAGGCCCTGACCAAATTGTCCCCAGAAGAAGTTGAAATGCGGAACAAACGTCTCAAGCGCGCCATCGATCTCGACGTCAAGCAGACCTACCTTCCAGAAGACCTCCAGGCAAAGGAGGACGTCTGGAACCCCTATCTGCGCGAGCGCGTTGAAAAGCTCAAGCAGGATCGCCTAGAACGACAGACTTACGATTAGTGTGCCCGTCTAGTATGAAATTGGCCCTTTTTGACTTCGTAAATTTCCGAGATTGAACCACAGAATCCAACTTCTTCCACCACCCCTCACTTTCAGTCTCAACGTTTCCTTCTCATTCGCAACGGCGCCATGGCCTTTGTAGTTTCAGGCCCACCTGTCCGCGGCTCATTTCAACCTCCCCGAGTTTCGTCCCGGGGAATTCGCGCTGCGCAGCGCCCAGCGGCTTGCGCGCGGCCACGAGCAGCGTGGTATGCGAGCGCACAACCCGCAACTGAGTCAGATGCTGCCCTGCGTTATCAGGATGATGGCACCCGCGTCGTACCGATACCCGTGTTCATAGCAGGAACGGAAGGCGATACAGTCGCAGGTGTCTACGGAGTCATGGATGGCGAACGAAATTTGACGTATGTCGGAATGAGCCGGGATGTTGCCAAGTCCTTGCTAACGCACGTCGAGAACCACTCTCCAGACGTTGCCAACTTCGTCAAAGTCATGACTTTCGCCATGCCGACGGCGCGGGACATGAAGCTTGTCGTCGACACTTGGATAAGAGATAATGAAGGCGTACCGCAAGGAAACATCGAGAAATGGGTCGAGTCTGATGCGGAGCTTGCGAAGGAAGCAAGCCTGCTGCCCTCAGAGGTCGCTGTGGTCGAGCCGATCATCAGCCCATTCGAGAGCGCGCAGGTGGAGACCCAGCAGCCCGTTGAGGTTCTTGAGCTCACGGAGGACAATGTCGACACTGTGCTGGAAGAAGTGCGCCCTTTTCTCATCTCTGACGGTGGAAATGTTTCCGTGCTTGCAGTAGATGTTGCCTCTAAACGAGTTGAGCTGCAATTGGAAGGCGCCTGTGGTTCATGCGAAAGCGCGACCGCTACTATGCAAATGGGTATTGAAAAGTCGTTACGTGCAAAGTTCGGGGAAAACATCGGAGAGATAACGGCTGTTTCTGCACCAGAGGTAGCTCCTGGGGAACTCAGTGTTGCTACATGCGAGGCTGTTCTGGACGAAGTTCGGGACGCACTGAAAGGGCTCGGTGCGACTGTTAAAATTCTAGAAGTCGATGATGGCGAAGTCATTGTATCCTTTAGTGGACCCAACAACCTTAAATACGGTGTTGAAATGCTACTTCAAGAGAAGCTACCGGAAGTCGACGCTGTAACTTTCGAGTTGGAGTAATGCGATGTATTAAACGGGAAGGGTGTTGGTTAACCCGAACCCATTCATAGGTAGGAAGAGTGGGGCAGGGCAAACCAATTGGTTCTCTCTCTCTTCCCTGGCCCATTACTCGCTTTGGTCGAGACTGAGCAATTGCTCTTTCGCTTCTCACCTAGACAAATGGTAGGGCAAGCACGTGAGACAAGACAAAGTTGGGAGTGCTGGCAGCTTGATATGCCTGCTGCACTAGAGTCAATTTTCAGAAGTGCCCTGTTGCAGCCCTCGATTGATATACTGCGATGAGGGCGCATCCTTGGTCTTGCCTGTAAGCGTCTTCTGATCTCCCTCCAAAATATACCGCCACCCTTTCTTCTGCCCTGTCCGCACTGGTCGTTCCTGAGGATCCTCGACGCCCTTCCAAGTGATTCTACCGTAATACCGCAGCTTCCCCTTGTTCTTTTCCACGACTTTCGTGACGGTCCAGTAGGACTGTTCATAGCCGTTGCGAAGCCATAACAGTCGGGTAAACTTCATGCCGACGCCGCGATCTGGCAAGTAGCTACCGACCTCCGCGATGGTCTTTTGTTTGCAGCGGTTTGGTTTTGGACTAACTTCAGCGGCTTCGGTGCATAACCGTCGCAGTGGCGCACACCGACGGAAAAGCGCGTTCATTGCGTCGAGCCAGGCCGCAGGTCTTTCCAAAGGCCTGAAGCAAATTGGGTGAGGTCCTTTTTGTTGTCAGGACATAGAGCTGCGAATTGGATCGCGGACTGATATGCCTATTGCACCTGCAGCACGGATTCTTCCTCTTCGCGCATGTTGATGCGTAAAGAGGAAGGATCAGGGGAGAAATTTTCTAAAAACAAAGACATTTTTGTAAAATCACCCAAAGTAACGGTTGCGCATTTCAAGTCATCTTGTCCCTTCAGTTCCCACAGCTATCGCATTCTTTCACACTGGTTATCGACAATCCCATCCACCCTACACTTTTTCAGTGCGCTGTCCAAGTAATCTTTGACAATTTCAATCTGTGCGAGCAGATCTTCCAAGCGAGGTTTACCTAGACTGCAACTATCATTTAAATTTTGCGAGGCGCTGTGATATTAGCTGAATTTCAAGTGGCCTTCCGAAAGCAAATCCCTCACAACAATGGGAGCCGCCGACCGATTAGCGCGTCCTGCCCTCTACATCATCGGCATCGGGACGGCATCAGCCTCGGCAATGCTGCCGTTCGGCATTCGACATCGGAAAGAAGGACAGAAGCAAGGAGCCGGGCAAGTAAGTACATCTGCCCGCTGGTCCACACGACGGATAGTCCACTGCTACCTCTTGAATATCTCAGGCGCGCGTTTAGTTTAATGCTGCCGGATGTCTGGCAATATCTGACCGTTCACAACTCTACACAAACGAACAGGGCGGGCCAGGCGCAAAACCGAAAGACTTGTTCGGGGAGATGCGCAAAGGTCTAAAACCCACGTCCCAATAGTCCTGCATCGACGAACGCCCCCCACGACACACCAGGCGCGGCGGAAGCGCAAGAAATGGGGAATAAAGGCGAGCAATGCTCTGATGCACTTTCCTCTTTCCTCATTGCATGTCTGCTGGCGTTCCCATGATCTCGTATCCCCCATCGACATACAAGACCTGTCCGGTGATTCCCGAGCCGGCACTTGAGAGCAGAAAAGAGGCGGCATTCCCCACCTCGATCTGTGTGACAGTGCGACGCAGCGGGGCGGACGATTCAACGTGTTTGATCATAGTCTGAATGCCGCCGATAGCCGACGAAGCGAGGGTGCGGATGGGACCGGCCGACACGGCGTTTACCCGTACGCCGTCCGGGCCTAGCTCGGAAGCCAAGTAGCGCACGGAGGCCTCCAAGGCGGCCTTCGCGACACCCATGACATTATAGTTGGGCACGACCCTCGAAGAGCCGATGTAGGACATGGTGACAACCGAGGCACCCTCGTTAAACAACGGACGCAAGGCGCCCGTCATCTCGATGAGCGAGTAGGCGGAAATGTCGAGAGCCTTTTCGAAGCCTGCCTTCTTCGTGGCTGAAAAATTGCCCTCCAGATCGCTCCTATCGGCGAAGGCGAGGCAGTGGACGAAGATGTCAATGCCGCCCCACTGATCGCGGATAGAGTCGGCGAGACCCGTAATCTCCTCCGGCTTGGTGACGTCGCACGGGACGAAGAGCGAGGGCTCGAGCGGGGTGGTGAGCGTGCGGACCTTGGCCTCGACCTTGTCGTTCATGGGCAGGAAGGCGACGCCGATCTCGGCGCCGGCGGCGTGCAGCTGCTGGGCGATGCCCCATGCGATGGAGCGGTTGTTGGCGATGCCCGTGACCAGGGCCTTCTTGCCGCGCAGGTCGATCAGCGGCGGCGACGTCATCGTCGACGTGCTCGCCGCGGCCGTCATCGCCGGCGCCGACACGCGCACGCCGCGCCCCGGCGCGCGCACGCGCGCGCGCATATGGGGCCGCACGAACGAGGTCTGGCGCGTCAGGATGGACGCGGACGCGGACGCGCGCGCCGTGGACAGGGCCGGGACGAAGGCTGGGCAAACCATGGCGTGAGGTGCGGGAGGTTGGTAGGTTCGGTGGGAGTGACGATGGGGAGGGCGAGGGGTGCGGCAGATAGGGGGTGGGGGGATGGTGGGGGGATGGTGGGGGGATGGCGGGGGGATGGCGGGAGGATGGCGGAGGGATGGTGGGGGGATGGCGGAGGGATGGTGGGGGGTTGGGTTTGGTGCAAGTTAGATAAAAGGGTTGGGTGTGGATTGCAGAGACGGACCGGGGTGGAGATTGGACTGCAATCGATTGGCGAAGGGGCTGATCCACTGCCTCGAGATAGAATGTCTTGGAGAGTAGATCGAGACACGTGTTTCGAGTGCTGGCCACGGATTCCACTTGTCCACGTGTACGTCCCGTGTGTGTCGACTTGCGCCACCTGTAACGTTTTGATTCGTGCACTTGGACCACTATATTGGCTGTTTACCCTACCCCGGCGCGGTTGCCTTCGGTTACCAAATAAAATTGGGCGCCACCGACCTTCTGTACTGCGCAGGCGCAATGCGGCGGTACAATTGTACAGTGCACTGTACAAGTGCACTGTACAAGTACCCTTCCCCAATAGGGTAATTTGGAGTAAACTTTGAAATATGGCAAAAACAAACAGATTTATTAGTAGGATACCAAAACGCTCGGCCCCATGACATACAAAACTGGGTCCAAAGTTCGTTGGTAGCTTCAGATCGGTCAGAAAACGGATATTATTTGAGATATTCACATTTGTCTATTCATCACAAGTGGCCTCCTTTTGAGGAAGGAGAGGGCAATTTGGAGTGTCTATGTCATGCGCATGAAGCGTGACCAGCGCCTCCACGACATCGTTCTCTTCCATGGAACGTTCTCCCAAAGATGCCACTACGGTCTCCGGTGCTGATCTGCATCGCTTGGACCGGTCAGAACACTCAAGACCTTGGGGGAAAGCAGCTGGTGCATTGGAAATCGCCAATTTTCGTATCTTTGTCATCCTTTTGGCTTCTTCTTTTTGAGGCCTCATATGTTCTCTTTGTGCCTTTTTATGCTTCTTAAGCTCCTCTTTTGCCTCTTTGGCAGCAGCAGCAGCAACTTGGCGTTCTTGGGCTCCCCATGTGTCAAATATAGAGCGGGGGTTCCATGTTGCAGCACTGGGCGTGATTCAGCCTGTTTTCCTTTCCCGTTCACAACTGTGCGGTTCAACATACAGTACTATATTTTTCGAAAAAATCAACGCTCTCCAAATTACCCTTTTTCTCCAAATTACCCTTTTGGGGAAGGGTACATCGTTGCGCAGCACGTTCCGGGCGCGGGCTGATACTGTACCCATCCCCTCCGCTGGACCCGAACCATTCTCACCCAAGATCCCCCCCCCAAACGCCGGCAAGAGCGCCCCCGTCTCCCGTCACCCACCCAAGCTGGATTGCTGCTTCATTTGCCTGCCCATCCCCCTCCCCTTCCCGCGCTGCTGGCCGCGCCGGCGCTACCGCCGCCGCAACGACTACCGCCGGACGCCGCGCCGCGACCACCGCTCCAAGGACCACCGCTCGAAGGACCGCCGCCACCCGACGTCCAAGTCGAAGCACACCTCGCGCTAGCGCCATGCCGGGCAAGCTGCTTCTGCCCGCGCGCGCCCCGTCGAGCAGCACGGCCGCGGTGCTCGCGCACCACGCCTCCCTGCGCGCCCGCATCGAGGCCCTGCGCGCGCGCCGCCCCGCCGACGCCCGTCTGCAGCTGTCGCTGCTGCTGTCCGGCGGCACGGCCGCACTTTGCGTATATATGACTTGTGATATACGAGAGAAGCAGCAAGGATTGATAGAAGTTCACGAAGGCGCGGGCGACCCCAAGCGCCCGGAAACAGGTTTCGGAGTATTGTAACGACTTCCTCGTCATCACGATGGAAGTGGGGCGGAAGGACGGCGAATGCGGCACTAGAAAGAGGCAAGCCAGCCACCGTACGGCCAACATAGTAATCACCAGCAGCTTCGTACCTAAAGTACCTGTCCTGTACACTGCCTAGCGTCCATCCACATCTTATGCACACGGCCACAATCGACGGTGCCGCAACGCTGCCACTACACACAAACGTACTGGAACCCTTTCTGAGCCAATGGCTCCCAAGCTCAGAGGCTGGCGGTGTCCCTATTTCTCTCAAACGCTGGGCTACTTCCTGCTTCTGCAGTAAAGCATGAAATGCCTTCAAAATCTTGTCTTGCTGGTGCCCTCCCGCAAATAGTTCGTCCGTCGTAAAATCAATGCGCGTGCTTGTAAAATAGAGCGCAAGACTTAAAATAGGACAAACTTCGGGCATCATAGGGTTAGCATACACGTGTTTGGGATCCCGGGGCCGCTCCCCTCCTTGATCCGTCTTTGACTTTGAAAACAGCACCGACAATGAATCTTTGTCGC